TGTCTAGCCTTTAATATTTAAAAATGTTAAACCCCGGTGCTTTCCCTCACTTTGTGCATTCAGAGATCTTTCCCAAGAAGGATTCCCATGGGCAGGAGTTGGTCAGTTGAGCTCAACCAAGAAATTTTTGAAAAGCAAGATTGCAGGCACATACAGCTGGAAATACAGGTCCCTTCCCATCGAGGAAACTTCTGTTTTCTGAATATAGGAAAGACTTTTTGGAGGCTTTTGAAGTGTTTTAGCTACACCATTCTTTCCCTCTGGTAATCTTACAGCTGAGCTAATGCTACTGATGTCCCTGGGCTTACAGCTCGAGGTAAGATGCTGTGCTGGGCGAGTGACAGCTTTTCCAGACATGAAAATGTCACAAGTTTAAAACCTCCTATTTATGCCCTATACAGCTGTAAACAGGAGTTTTATTCCACTGAGAAAGGCAGATTTTTAGTTTGCCAGTGGAGTTAGTTCTCCTGGCTAGATCTGAAAGTGCTTGAACTCCCTGAAGCTGGGTGTTGAAAAGCTGTAGACAGTCACATTTTATAGATATTTTACTTTTATTAGTGAAATAAAAAAGAAAACAAAACTGAGACCTACCTAGCACAACCTTTGGTAAATATTTTAAATGTACAAATCTATTCATGAAAGAGAAGGAAATTAAAAGGTGTCTCAAGACGACTAGTTCCAGAAGGAAATAAATCATTTTTTAAATAACAGCAACAACAGTATCTTACACTTTTCACCTCTTTGAGAATCACAAAGCTGTTAAGGTAGTAACTGCTGTGTAAAATATAAACAGGGAAAGCTGTGTCCACGTGTCCAGCTTGGTGCTGAACGTGGCCGTGATGCCTTGAAGCAACGTGGGACTGGATGAGAGGGCTCCTGCATCTCCTCAAAGCGACAGGGGAATATTAGGCAGGCAGAAATGTAATTACTGGAGTTGAAATTGGACAATGGGACTGACAACACATTCTTGGGAAATGTGCTCTGTGATCATTAATATCCGTGAAGCAAGCTTGCCAACCGTATTGATTTTGGCAGTGGATTATCACTGACAGCCAGGATGTGCCACCCTCCTGCCTTATGCAGTGCCCTAATAGGTTCTTAGACAAGCAACCAGGGTAGTACATAGAGAACAACTCCCCAGGATGTGTTCATGCCATCGCAGGTTCCCTGAGTGTGTGTCAGGTTGACCACTGAATAGGTCCTGCACAGGTATTCAGTGCCAGGGTAGCAAGTCCTACATGTTTGGGACGTGCTGGACCCGCACAGGCCAGGTACAGATGCACTGTGGAATGTCCAACCTGCTGGCATTGGCAGCTCCATGCAAGTTCCCATCCATATGCTGAGGCTGTTTGCTCTCCTTCTACAGTGAGCTTTGACCAAAATGAAACATGGGCAAAGTCTGACCTTCTTGGTAGCTTTTTTTCCTTCAAAATCTTCACTTGGGAGACAGTTTCTGCCTTTAGCAAATGTAAGACCTGGGTTTCAATAGCTTACACATTAGGTAATGATGTTTACAAGCTGATGGTACTTTTGTTCTTAAATTAGCTTGAGTATACCTACGAGGAGGGTGTTGGTTAAAATAATGAGATAAAAATTGAGAAAGTGCAAAATAATACCTGCGCGTCATCCAAATGATCTTTGTATGTGACATGCATTGAGATTGTGCCCTGATTCTCAACTAGCAATTCCAAGTCCTACTGCAATACAAATAATAACCAGATACTTAGGATAGATTAGAATTTACTTTTGGATCCATTAGCATTTCTGTTAAATCTGACAGACGATTTAGAAAATCTATATGAATTCAAAGTGCCTGCTCATCATATTTTGTGACAGCTGGGTGAATACTTGACATCTTTGTGCTCTTAAAAGAACATATGCAAAGACTCAATTTAATTTGTAGGGTTGAGGGAATTTATTTGCCTAATTTTGAGCCCACTAGCACATGATGGATTTGAAAGTTCAGTTCTAACAGGAGTATAATTGGGTTTTCTTTTCACTTAGGAGAGAGCGTGATAGAAAGGGTGAGGAGAGAGATAGAGACATGGGGAAAATAAAGTAAGAAAATGGAACTGAGAATACTTACGAAAAAAATTGCAATGAGATTGAAAAAAGAATATAGCAAGGCAGAGCATGAGAAAAAGCCCGCACATACAAATAAGAAACTGTTTAAGGGGACAGAAGAGATGAAATAATATATTCTTAATCATAATGCCAAATGTCTTTTGCCTGAGAAGAGCTGATGCTTTAAAATTTATTCACTGTCGTAGCTGAAAACAAAGATAAAATATTAAGTCTTTAAGTTGTGGGAAGGGAGAGACGGATGTTTCTCTAAATAGTTTCTCAAGCTCAGTAAGTAAAGCAGCTCATCAAATTTTCAGTCTTGCAAGGACAGTCCTTCAGCATCAATACCTGGTGCAAATGGTGAACTGCAAGGATAGGACACACGACCATAGCCATACAAAAACCAGATACTGTGGGTGAACGTTGACCCTGCTGACCAGCAGAAATTAGTCTCATGTCTCCAGTGGTTTCCTTTAGGACAAAGACCAGCCCACACTCCAGAGGTCAGCTTTCAGTTGCCGAAATACTTAGCTTGATCTGTTCCCTGCATGCATGGAATGTCCTGGGGTGATCACAAGTGACTAAATCCTGTCAGATGACAGGATGGGCAGCTGGCAGCTACTAAACTGTGCATACCTAGAAATGGAAGTGGTACTGTACCAAGAGATAGGGAAGGAGTCTTCCCATACAGATCCTGAATGCTTCTGTAAGAGACAAAGATGGGTGGGACTGTTGATTTGGATTTGATCTGCTCACATGTGCCTTGCCTTTTGTTCAGATTACATCACACTCCTTTTCTTTATTTGAAAGCTGGGAAAACCCTCTCTCTGCTTTATCCCCTAGCATGCACAGTGTGATCAATGGCAGTGTAGGTTTCCTCTGTCTTGTGCTGCCATGTGAGCAGCACATCCAGTCCACTGTCCTTCCTCAGCCCATGTAGCATATGGGGCCAGGATTTGCAAGCAGCACAACATGCCAGCATTCTAAAGTAGCTTTATTAAAAGTCCTTAGGGACTACCTCTCCACATCCTTCATTTATCTTTTAAACGATTCTCTTAGTGGAAGAAAGGGGCAGGAATTGAGTTTGGTTTCACTCTAACTCAGCATTTATGTTTTCTGAATTACTCCCAAATGAGCTGGCTTCTGATGTCCCCAGACATTTCTTTTGCCTCACATCGGACACAAAGTCCCTTTGCAGCTGGTCACTAATGGGTCCAGCTGAACCAGCATGAGTCCAAGGCATTTGAAGGTAAATCTCTGTTCAGTGCTTAGGACCTTGTCAGCTGCTCGAGGTTTAGCTTAGTACACAGCAAATAGAAGTACTTCTCCTGTGCTACTTGTATTTGATTTTTAGGTAAGAACTACATTTTCAGCTGTATCACTGGCAAGCTTCATTAACAGTCCTTGTCGAACAGTAGCTTTTTCATCTTTGTGCTTCACTAGCGTTGTAGAATTAAATAGGTTTTTCTGTCTTTTTGATTGTGTCCTGATATTCTGTCACCTTTTGATCTCTGTGTAGTGCACATGGACTGTAAACTCCTTGAGGTACAGACTGCTGGGGGAGGAGGGTGTATGGGGGTGTATTTTTCCTTTAGAGGGTGCCTCCTGCAGCAGAGCCCCACATACTGTGGAACTGTGAAATAATAGTAACATTATAATTATCATTATCATTATCATTATTACTATAATTATTTCCACATTACCTCTGTGATACCTAAGAAACTCAATTTTGTTTAAAGTGTATTGAGAACTCTAGGAAGATCTGGAAATGGCAACCTACAGACACAGCAAATGGCCCGAAGTACTAATACATTTCTGACTTTATACAGCAACTTCTCCTTAATCCTATCACTGCTTAATTTAATCCTGTTTCCTTTGATTGGATCCCCTGGAACCAAATAATTTGTATTGCGTTTTAGTCTGGTATTTCTGATCATTGTCTTTGTTAATTTTATCAGGATTGATTGAACCAGTCATTGAAAACAAATCATGTAATTAATCAAATGCAGCATTAGAAAAGCGGGTCCTCAGCTACTCTGTTAGCTTTTACCTCTTGTTTTTCTTTCCTAGTACAAGTTTGGACTTTTTTTAGAAAGAAGCAGAGAGGACTATTTTAATAGCATCCACATTTCAGTATTAGGAGGGGAGATATATATGCATATATATACATCTGCTTATTTTATATAGAATAGAATTAGGATAGGATGGGATAGGATAGGATAGGATAGGATAGGATAGGATAGGATAGGATAGGATAGGATAGGAATAAAATGGAAGTTGTTCAATGGGAAAGGACCTACAACGATCATCTAGTCCAACTTTATATCTCCTTTCAAAGCATCTTAATCTCACAAACTCTGTGGCTTTTTCTGAAACATGCATGTTTGGTGGAAGATCTTGCCTAATGGCTCAACTTTCTTACTAATTCAGTGATTTTTTTAAGAGAATCAACATGTGATCTGTGTTTAAATTTAGCACAGAGTCATCAATAAATGTAAAAAACAAGATAAGGCTCTGTGCTTTGTTCTAATAAGATCTGGATAGTCTGGTGTACAGTCAGTGCTTGTCTGAAGCTAACAGTCACTCCAAAAACTGTGCTATGCATGAGAAAGGAGATTTTGGATTCACAATAAAGATTATTTTGATCTCCACCTGTTGAGTGGAAAGCATTCCTTTCTTTTTTTTTCAGAGTAGGTGCATGGTCCCATTTTGATTCTTCTCTCACTCTGATCAACATTTGTGACCAAAGTTGGCCATTTTGTTCTGCAGTGTTAGATATTTATAGATTTGTGTGCTAATTGAAGCTTTATTACAGCTCAGTTTGACTGAGGCAATGGTTGCACGAAGGACAGCTAGAACTCCCTTTGCCTCTCCTGAAAGCCACAGCAAGTTCAGCAGGGGACATGCTGCCTCTTAAGGGGTTTTACCTGTGATGACCCTGAGCTGGCCTCCCTGGCAGTTCTTCCTGGGGGGTTACGAGGGCACTGTCTGACTTGCACCCATCCCAGCAGAAATAGCAGCTTCTGATGGACCATGACCTGCAACAGCAGAGGAGGAGAATTAGGAAGATCAGATAACAGACTTGCTGATGTAGGTGAGGTATCCCTACCAAAGGTCATTTAATTTTAGCTTATCCTTCCCTTCACGGCTTGCAGAACCAACCTGCATTATTTAGGGCTCACAATAACCCCTCTGTCTCTCCCTGTCACCCTGAAGTTTCTTGAGTGGGAGATAATATTTTTAGAGGTGGTTTACTTTGTGTTAACTTCCTGTGAGCAAAGAGAGTAGGCGGTATTATGCTTTTCGCAGCATGAATTTTCTTTAAAAGATACATAACAGGGGATTTTCAAAAGCACAGAAGTCTTTGGCCAAACTCTCCATCCTTGATGGTTTTCCTCTTCTTAATGAGTCCAATGACTCAAACTGGATGCCTAAAAGAATTTAATATTAAAACAATAAAAATTATCACAAGTTGCCAGAAACAGAGTAATACTGAAGGATCACCTGATTCACACCCCAAAAATGAGAGTGAGGTGCCTGGGAAAAATGTGTGGCAAGGTAGCACAATTTTGACAAGCCTACTAGAAACAGTAGCCCTATATGTACCATTATCAGTTTTACTTTAAATCGTGTGGCTGTGGACAGCAAAGTATGTCTAATAGCCATTTGGTAGATTTATAGCTTGGGATGCAATGTGTTTGCCATAAATCTTTTAGAAGGGTGGTGGTTGAGGCGTCTGAAGCAGTCATGCTAGTCCAAGGAAAACAGGAGAACTGGGCAGCTTCCTACTGGTAGCATGGAGATACGGAAATAAAATGAGCAGGAATGATTTGATGTAAAACATACAGAGCAGAGAAACTGGAGAAAATGGTGACTGTGTTTCCAGAAAAAAACATATATTAGCACTCTATTGTAAATCAAATTAAATTACTGCCCCACTGCCTGCTCCTGCACTGAACTTCTTGTGTTATTAAAGCTCTGAATCTGAATGGAAGCAGGGTTGCATCTTGAGACCTCATTCTCAAAAAGGATCTGCCAGTCGCGTCTGGTCAGAACAGCTTGGGGAATGTTTACCTTTTTTTAAGAACCAACTGGGAGATGGATAGGTTTGAGCTGTTTTCACACAGTCTTGTTTGAGTTTTAAAAGGCATTTTTATCTGTCTGCAGAGAAAAAAAAAAGGTTTTAATAGGAATCATTGAGATATGTGATTTTGGTTTAAAAGAGAATGTAGTATTTTTTACTGTGGAATACATTTGTATTTCTCCTACACAACCAAAAATTTTAAGAAGACCAGAGCAATTACAGGAATAGCCAGATTTTAGATGTTATCTTGTGTGTAGGAAAAGGGATGGATTATTAAAGTGCATAGTGTCTCCGACAAGTAGCACTTTAATGCTGTTTTTCACATCTTAATTTTAGTGACTGCATAACTTACCTTCATAAGATGCTCTTAATTGAACGTTTCAGTAGAATTTGAATAAAGTCTAATATGTCTGGGATTCCTCCTCCATTCCTTAAAATATGATGTGAAATTAGTTAGTCTTAATGTACATATCCCGGAGCTAATTGTTTTATCTTGTAAATCAGTTTCTCCTAGTTTTTTCTATGGCTTTTACTTTCAGATATAAAGAATAAATAAATTCTTGATTGAAAAGTCATCTTTGTTTTGCAGTAGAAAAAGGGGGAGGGGGCCAGCTATATAAATGCAAAAGGATTTTTAGTTCTTTTTTAATTATTTACAAACGCTGAATTAAAGGACAGCGGAGTTTAAATTATGCATTAAATTAGCATGTTGCTGATGGAAGACACTCAAAGAAAGTTGAAATTTTTAAATTGCTGTGAACCAAATTCAACCACAGTTTAATAGCTCAATTGATGTTGATGAACTTAAGGCAGTGATAAATCTGAACCTATAGGCTTATTTTTCTTTTTGCTGTGAAAGGTAAGCATGCTGTTTCTACAGTACTGACTGTCCTTTTGTTTGAGTTGACCGAGTATACTTTGATCCTTTTTTTAGAAAAAGAATTCTCTGTTCTACCTTAAAGAAAGCTTCCTGAGACCTGGATCAGATTATGGAAACCAAAGTGAGCACACAAAAGTGCTTGTTAGAAAGTGAAATTTATGTGCAAACTAAATGTGCCCTTGATGATAGCCTTATTGATCAAGCCAAGTTAATAAATCAGTAATATCACACAGCACTGTTCAACACTCACAGGCTTATATTGGTTTTCCTTTTTTTTTTCTTTCTTTTTATGTGCCTGCTGTGTAGGCAGAGAACATGCACTTTCCTGCCACGGAGTGTGTACTACAATTGAAACACTGAGTTCAGAGGGCTTGAATGTAAAATGTCGGCATCCAGTACAAAAAAAAGGAACTTTTATAGCAGTAACTTAATACTGAGATTGGAGCCTTTTACTTCATAAGTATTCCTGTCTTTATTTCTAATGCTTTAGACCCTGATCCAGAATGAAATTCAGAGTCCTGTTTGGATAATTACCAGAATTCCATGGAAAATTTGGCATGAAAATGCCATATGGAGTGACTTCTGAACCTAGCCATGGCCAGCATTTGCATTCAAGATAAATGTTTAGTTTTCAAGAAGCCTGCCTTTAGGTTGTTCTTCAGTAGCTTTGCCAGTACACAGGGGCAACATCCTTTGTGCACCCTTGGGATTCTGGTCTGACAAGCACTTATTCCATTATTGCCCATATTTCCTTAAGCCCTCTGACAAAAAGCACTTATGATGAACTGGATTTATCTGCCTTCACCATGGGATGCCTGCAGGATCTCTCAGAACCCTCTCGCGTTGTGCAGTGCATGTTCTCTGTAGCACGAGCCGCGCGTTGTTCCGGATGTCGCGCATTTTCTCCTCCGTTGTGAGATGATTTTGCATTCGTAGCTTTGCTCTGATTTGGGGTTGATCTGCATGCAGACCGTGTTAGCAGAGGAGGTTCTGCTCAGGCTAAAGTGGGGCTTCTGTGCTCGAACCCAGTGTCGTGCGCTGATGTCCCTGGTGTCCTGGAGCAGCAAGTGTCGCAGCCGGGACCTTGGTTCGATACCTCAGCTCCGTTCCCTGATGTTCTCGCTGAGAAACGAAGGCAGCTGGGTGAGTACCTGAGCCTCTGCTGGTGAAATTTGCCAAGACAGAATGCAAAGTAGCATTTGTGAAGCACTTCTTGTCATTCCATGGTCCTGCATTCATTCCTAGCTGATGACTGTATCACTGGTGTGAGAGCGGTGGTTGTACTGGGCTATGCAGCCGCCAGACAGAAATAAATACCACCTGTGGTCAGTTCACAACTTTTTCTATCCCATCCCTCTCCCTTCTTTTCCATAATCTCATTACTTCTCTTGCCTTCCCAAACCTGCAGCTAATGTGGATGGTGAGCCTTAGAAAGGGTTAATGAGACAGCGGCAGTTGATCCATTCCCAGTATGGAGTTATCTTCCATTGCATTGTCAAAACTCAGGAATTTGGGCCGTCTGATTTTTGAAGGTAGCCAAGGCTCAGTCCAGGAAAGTTGGGGTTGATTCTTCCACCACAGGGAAAGAATCTGGACATGCTCATATATCTGCCTTATTAACAGCTCACAAACTGAGTGGTGAGAAGCTCTGCTATGCATGGGGCCAGGATCAGGTGCTGTGCCTGTATGGGACTCCCACAAATGAGTGGAATGCAGCTCACTCAAAGAGAGAGGCAGCAATATATTTTGTTGAGGTAGTTGAGTAAGTTCATTGGAATTTAACAAAATTTAACAGTGGCTTACAAAGGTTCAAAAAGGTTGATGGTGAGGCTCAATTTATTAATTACTGCATGGAAGAAACATACAAATGAAAATTAAGTTAGAGTCAAGTTAGAATGTTTTGCACAGAGACTAGAGGTGCAGAAGCATAAGGAAGACCCTCCCAGTGAGTCATGAAGTTCAGAGTGGACTCCCTTGCTTTCTAAACTGCTGGTGGAGCTTAGGTGCAGCCAGGTCCAGTCTGAGTCTCAGACTTGGACAAAAGTCTAAATCTAATGAAAGAAATACAAAGAGTAAGGAAGAGCCTCTTGCTGAGTTATGAGGTTCAGAGTGGACCTGCTTACTTTCTAAACTCCTTATGGAGCCTTGGTGCAGCTAGGTCCAATCTTAGTCTCAGACTTGGGCAAGTGTTTATGTCTAATGTAATTACCTGTACTAAGTTTATAATAATTGAGTAGCTACATGAATTAGTAATGTTTCCTTAGTATTAATTTAGCATCCTGTCAGATCTGCCATTGGTTAAAGGTCTCTCTGTCTCAAGGAGCCACCTTGAGAGGTGTCCCAGCTCAAGGGGAGATCACCACCGTGCAACCAGACTGCCTGGCCAGAAGAGCTTAAAGAAGGCTCACTTAAGCTGTAATATTTATGGAATAAAGGCTCATAGTCAAATTGCATGCGATGGAAAAGGTACGCATGCGATTTGTTGTACCCACAAATTTCTTTGCTCCTTGATTAATGAGTCTTGCAAAAGCCACTGGTTATTCACATGTTAATGGCATGATCAGTGTTCCAAGTTCATATGCATCGATGCCCACTGTGTCACTCTATTTCTTTGTGGGTTTTCGGAGAACAAATTGAAATTAGAGGAGTTCTTGATCTGAACACGACTCAGACCTTTACCTGCTTTGCATCCTGTACCAAACTACCATAGTTTGGTTAAGGGGTCAAGGGCATCCATCACATGGATATGCGCCCCACTGTGCTCATGGGTTTCTCTAAGCCTGTGTCATTAACCTCAAGTTGGGCACTGTTCTTAAATCCTCTGAAAAGCAGGAATGGAAGCAGACTGTACCCTGCTGCTAAGCCATGTCTCTGAAGGCTGTGCCTTAGTGCTCCGCAGCTCACACTGGTTGGTGGCTCGTCGCTGGATGGTGTTCAAGTTGTTTAAGTATTGAATTATTCTCTCTACTCAAGAGGGGACTAAGACTGCTTTTGTCTTTTATGCAGGGTAATAACATTTTTCCTGTGAGTTAACTGTATTATTCTCTTTCTTGCTGCTCCCACATTAGTTTTGGAAAGAGAAAAACAACGCTGTGTCATCGCAGAATTGCCTGGTGATGGGAACTGTAAGGTAGATGAGTTCTTCTCTCCACCCATGAGCAAGTTCTTGAATGAGGTTTTACTGCAGGACTGTTCGTTCTCTTCCTCTTGCACACCAGCCTGTCCATATCTCTTAGGTTTTTAATACATTACAGTACATCCATCTCTTAGAACAACAGTTTCATTTCTGTAGCCCAGGCCAACAGCCAGTGCTAGGGAGATATTGCTGTCATCACTGCATCTTTAAAAGCTCTGCTTCCATCCTTAAGAGATTCTCTGGCTATGGACTAAACTCAGAATTATGCTTGGGGTCCTGTCCAGCGCAGTATAGGAATTTACTCCAGATGAAGATCTATCCCAGTATGGTTCAGATTTTACATGCATACCTTGTCCACACAAATAATACCTGTTTCATGCAATATTTAGCAGTGCGAACTACAAATTAGACCATAAACTCTTCAGTGCAGAGACCACTAAACTTTTTAGAGCATCAGACACATGCAGACTTAAAACCCAACCAGGGCCACCAGTCATTACCAGTTAGAGAGAGGAATAGAAAACAACTTTAAAAGGAATTCCCTCATTAAATTGAAGGTGCTTTTAGCCATGACAGGCCATAAAATCTGAATCCCTGGGAGGGAATGTTTTGCTCTATGTATGCGTGTGTCTTAGCCTTTTTAGTTTCAATGGGGAGAGAGAATAGACTGGGTTGCATATTGGATACATTATCTTGGTATTAAGCTGCCATTCCCAATCTCTTTTGGATAATTGGAACAGAGAATCACTCCTTCTTATCCATCACTTTAAATGAAGGCCTTAGTAAAATAATTTTGATTGCTGGGAACCACAAATAGGATCTCTCTTTCCAGATTAGTTCTTTTTTGCTCATGAAACTGTTTGAACAGGCCTTAGCACTCTGAACCATAACAGGATGTTTGTCAGCAGTTCCACAAGCTTTGGGGAAATTGCTGAAATGTGTTTATAAGGACCTCCTAGGAAGTGTTTGGTGGTGTTGAGCCTGGGGAAGATTGTGTTGGAATTTTTGTTGTTGGATTTTCATGGTTGTTGTGTTGGGTTTTTTTAATTCCACTAACATACTCTTTGATGCTGGTAGTAGTAGTAGTAAATTAGGTCTTATGTTTCCATTGATGTAAAAAAGGTCTTACTGAAAGTTTAGGTCTTATTTCATCAAAGATTTGTAAAACTTTGGATTTAAAGTCTGACTTAGTTATAGTTATGCCTATGTGACACCTAATAGTAAACGTGTAAGCTGATGCAGTATGAACTGAATCAATAGTTCCCAATCTTGAGCACCCCACTGATGGCTGTGAACTCATGAACCTGCTTGTGGATATTTTGAAAAGCCCCATGAATCTGAAGATTTTTAATGTTTTAATATAATAAGGTTCAGTGGACCAGCTGTACACCAATTACTGTTGCCTATGGGCCATGGTTTATGACTGTTTGAGCTACAAAAAATTGACAGTCTGGCAACTTGTCTGTGTTGGTCTCATGTAATTCCAAAATCGTTCCATCTTACTCTCTTCTGCCTGTACGTCTGTATTGTGGTTAGTTTCCTTAAAACTGGGAGACTGCTCCCTACTGGAGTTCAA